AGGAGGAAATTGCCAAGCAACGTTGACGATCATTGATCTCCTTTCGTCATATTTGCTGATAAGATTGTTAGCTGCGTCATCAACCTCTTTGACAAGATTTTGAACCAAATATTCTCTATTGTTTACCGGGACTAGGTTAGCCCCATGAGAGGCATCATTACGCCAAGCCCAAAGTTTCCGACACGTCAATAAAAAAATCGAGAGCCAGCTACGTACCACCATTAACACTCCCAATTCTTCAGCTTGAAATTTAGATTAATCCAATGGTTTAGATCTCCGCAGAAAAAATCATTGCTGCTATCCCTTGGCACAAGTTTTTGCCATAAGCATTTCGCAATTGAACAATCCCTCAAGGCATATATTATAGTTTTTTTTTTCCTTATTACAGATAGGACAGACATCCATCCTACCATTCCACTGGGTCACTATGCTATTGGTGAGCAATCTATTATGCATTACCTTCCACATCAGAAGTTTGGTCTTCTGCGTGAGATTAGGTAGCAACCATCTAAAAGTCTTTTCTCTTACCACCCTCACTTCAATGTTCGTATCAGTCACTTTTATATTCCTACTCCTTTTTCTCTCCATAAGAAAGCTCCAACTTCTCATACATCATGAGAAGTTGCAAGCTCTTTAAACAAATGGTTGTTAATTATTTTGAAAATGCAACAATACGTTCAAATTTCTTCTTTTAATATGTAAATCTTACAACTTGTCCCTTATTTTTATAATGGTTTTCTAATAATTAATCTCTCTCACTTGATATTAATGTAATAATTAATTTTCGTAGAAGTAATTTTAAGCCTCGTTATATATATATATATATATATATATATATATATATATATATATCAATATTAAAGATTGGAACTGATGCCAATTAAAATACATACTCATTAGCGTAGAGTTAGGGAAGATCTGCTCATTTACATACAAATAGCAAGTATTTCATGTGTTGCATGTACATATTTTTTTATTTTAGTAAAATATAAAAATAATTAAGAGAAAATATATTTAAAAATATCTAAAAATATGCATTATCAATTTAAAAGAACTTGAATTTAATATTTGTTTTTAAGTTAAGAAGGACGTGACGCGCGAAGTAGCAGGAAAAATATATAAGAGGGTTGAATTGTGTATTTAACTCTTTTTGAAAATTCTTGCACAATGAAGATCTAACTCAACTTGTTCTCAAATCTAAAGATGTTGGTTAAGTAGACTCAAAAACATAGTAAACAAGTAATGAGTAAATTCAACTAAGTAAATATTCTCAACTATATATGTTGGCTTCAATTATTAGTACAAAAAGTCAGAGATGTTTTGTTTTCAGTTTTCAATATCTTAAGAAACTGATAATATAAAACAAATATCAATCAAGAATAAAGAGTTAGAGAAACAAAGAACACCAGAAACAAAGAAAGAATAAGGCCCGTTTAGATGAGTTTTTTTTTTTCAAAAGCTACTTTTTTTTTTTAAAAAAACACTTCTCGATTTTAGTTTGTTTGGATGCCTGCTTTTAAAAAAAGCAGAAGTCACAAAAAAAGTTAAAAACTTACTTTTTTCAGAAGCTAAAAATTTTAACTTCTAAGAAAAGCAGAAGTCAAAAGCAAAATATTTTTATAAAAATACAAATAGCTTTAATTTTTATAAAAAACACTTCTAACATAAAGAAGAGATAAAAGTTACTTTTTAAAAAAACCCAAACAAACAGGCTGTAAAGAGTTTGAAAAATAGTCATTGTATTACATCACGTACCGTTTGCAACGAGCATATTCGTTATTCTTGTCCTTTTTTGGCACCGTTTGCCATAAGTCATGCATTTTTGTAACTATGTGCTTTGGTGACAAGTTGAGGTGACTTTGCTCAACTAGCTTCGCGGTGTTCATTATGTTGATATTTCTTGAAATATTTAAGTGTGATTAGTCTTATATTTATTGGTAATAGGCTAAATGAAATCCAATATAAGTGAATGAACCTATAAATCCAATTGAGTATCCCAAACTCAACTACTCAGAGCCAATGGTTGAGCCTAGGGGTGCTAAACGAGTCAGGGGTCTTTGGCTCGGCTCGTGAAGGCCTGAGCTTACATGTCTAAAATTGATTGTTGGACCCAGACTTGGACTTGTATAAAAGCTCGTTTAATAAAAATGCCTCATGCTCTAATTCAAAAGCTCGGCCTTAGAGCCTCTCAGGCTTGCCTAATATATTTTTATTTTATTTATTTTATATTTTTTATACTACTTGTGATAGCACTCTCTCTCTTCTCAATTCATTTCATCTCATTTTATTAATTAAACAGACTTTTTGAATGATTTTATTTTATATTATGCTATTTGGATATACATTAAATTTATGAAATTACTAGTGCTGTTGATTGTAGATTTTGTTTGGGTAAATTTTTGTTGTCTTAATTTTTTAAAACAGGCTAACAGGCTAAACCAGACTTTTATTTTTTGTAAATGAGCCAGGTCACAGGCTGATATTGTATTTGTAACAGGTAACAGGCTAAGGCCAGTCTGACACATTTGAACACAGGCTCGGCCCGTTAAGACCAAAGTTCGGCTCGGCTCGGCTCGTTAACACCCCTACTTGAGCCTGAGATACTCAGTTGAGAGGGAACATACCAATGTTGGGTCTCATACCAGTGGCGGAGCCACATGTACTGTGGGTGTGGCCTCGACCCGGGCTAAATTCTAATAAATTGTATTTATTATATATAATTAATTATAATTTGGCCTGAATTAAAACTATAATTTAGCCCGAGCTATAATTTGTAATTTGGCCCTATGTAAAATTTAAAATATTTTTGATGAATGATTTGGGTAAGTTGTATTAGCTTATGTGTCTAATTTCCACTTGTATAAAATAAATAAATTATTTTTAGTAAAATTAAAAATATTTAATAAAATTATTACTCTTATTAGTGCTGCTTGCTCAGATATTCTGTATTTAATATAATTTAAATATATTATAATATGAACTAACTAAACTTAAAAAAAATAAATACACATATAATTTTTTTTGGCTCAGGCTCAAATTTGAACCCAGCTCCGCCACTGTCTCACACGTGGGATTATAACTTATAGCAATTACTACTAAAGCAACTCTAATTATTAGGTAAAATGTTTCTAATTTTATTTTTATTATATTTTATTGTAGGATTTAGTGTGTGTCATTTAAAAAGACACAAGTTGTGTCTTTTTAGTGACTTACACATAGTATGATCGGGTCATATTCTGTATAATTCTGAAAAATTTCTTTTTTTATTTATTTTACACGTCAGTGATGTGATTGAGGAAAGAGAAAAAAAAACAGCTTTTCAGATTTACACAAAGTATGATCGGTCATACTTTGTGTAAATCATCTAGAAGAACACAACTTGTGTCCTTTTAAATGATAGTCTTTTTTCCCTTTATTATATACATTTAATTCATATTATTTAACTAGTAATCCACTAATTGAACCAATGACTCATTAACCCAATATTCTGACCGAGTGAATGAGCAATTCGAGTTTGATAGTGGATAAGACTATGTATCCTCAAACATTCCATGGAGTGATATACTTTTCTTCTCAAAACAGAATTCCTTGTGGCTGCAAGTGTTGAGTAGTAGCAGAAAATTAACTCAGTCGTTGAATTGTTTTTTTGAATGTATCCAAGTCATTTCAAATCTGCTCAAGTACTCAGTCATATTTTTTATAGCTCAATTAAGTTTTCTAATGTACCTAGATTGAAAGAAACTCACAAGGAATTCTTAGAGATAATATAAGAGAGTAATTCCACAACATAGTTTGCTAATTATTGAAACTTATACCCATAAAAGGGCTTTGGAGTGTACATTTTTCTCCATTTTGATAGCGACAAACTCAAAACATCCATAATTTAACTTAAGAGTACTATACTTTCACTTGATTAATGGAAACAAACACCCCTTCAATCCATACTCTTAGGTAGTGTTTGGTTGAAGGATTATTTTGGGATTGATGGGAAAGTGTAAGTGGGTATTGGAGAATACCACATTTGGTTCAGGTTTTTTCAAAAAAATACTAGGCAAATGGGATAGATAGGGAAATGACTTTTGTGTTGATTTTTGGATGAAATTCACTGTTACAGAATACCACTTGAGATGTGGTATTTTAAGATAACTGGGGAAGTGAAAAAACAGGTGCGAAATTTCTCCCGAACATAGATTTTGCAAATTTAAATAAATTTCCCTGGTAATATTTCAGTCAACCAAACAACTTTTTTTACATTTTCCTACCAAACTCATTTTTCAACCATTTCCCTAGTATTTAAAAAATTTCTCCTCAACCAAACACCCCCTTAAGTCCAGATATTAGAGCAAAATAAGTGCACACTCTACTCTTTCATTGATGGTGGTTTCCCATGTGAGCAAAAAATTTCTTCATGTATAATATTTTTAAACTAATGATATATTAAAATTAAACTTAAACATCTTTAACAATGACAATATAATATATTTTTTTGACACATGAGGAATAAAAAAAAAGTATTGGAAAGTTATCTTCATAATAATCCGAAAATTTAGGACGGTAAATACTTGTTTTTTCTTTAATTATATTAAGATAAAGGAAAAAATATTTCTCAAGTCAGAAAAGATAAAATCATCTCCAGTAAACTAAAAAACTACGTCATTTTGAATTCTTGAACTAGAGATAACGTATCTCCGGATAAATCCTTTACCTGAGATAAATTCCATTTTTGATTATTTAAATTTAGGAGAGATTATAGTTACTAATTTTTTTCTTAGTACTTGTTACCATCAAATCTTAACCGTTAATTTCTGTCAATCTAAATATTATAATTTATTAGAATTAATAATTAATTAATAAATATGACCCAATAAATTATAACGATTAGATTTACAAAAATCAACTGTTAAAATTTAATAATAACACGTAATAAAAAAAATTGTAAGTTTAACCTTTCCTTTTTAAATTTAAGATAAAGGAAGAACTCCCTGTCTGAAATCCGAATACGAATTCTGAGGGGTGAAAAATGGCATTCACACTCAACCCTACAACTCCTTTTTCTCACCGATTTCTCACTCGACGCTCCAAACGAACCATTTCATGCTCCTTCTCTTCCGAATCTTTTAAGGTCACTCACTTACTCACTCACTATAGTTCTCTACCTCTCTTTCTCTTTCTCCCTTTGCTTCAAAAAATGAAAAAGAAGAAGAAGAAAATTTACTTTCACTAAATTTTTAAGGATATAAATTGAAAATGATTTTTGTGTGGTGTGTTTGGGAATGCAGTTTAAGAGGCAGTACACGAGCGTGATGATAGTGCCGACAGGGATTGGAGCTGCTATTGGGGGATTCGCCGGCGACGCCTTACCGGTGGCTCGCGCTCTCTCCACCGTCGTTGATTGCCTTATCACTCACCCTAACGTATGTAATTACTTCCCAATCCCAAATTGCTTTTTTTTTTTTTTTTTTAATTTACTGGTCTACAAAGCTGTCTTATCTGTTTTATCACTTTTATGTAAGGGTAATATAGTCTTTTCGGTTATTTTATGATTCCTTTGATACGGAAAGAAATATTTCAGTTTAAGGTTTGGTCTTTGTCATTCTAAATGACATAAGTTATGTCATTTTAGGAGAGAGATAGTCACAAAAAAACAGAAATTATGGAAGAGAGAAGGTGAGTGGTTTTTTTTTAATTTAAAATTTAAATTTTCTGTGTCTGTATCTCTCTTAAAATGACATAACTTTCTGTCATTTAAGATGACAAACACTTTTCTCAGGATTTATTTATAGGAAAAGTTATATTTACAACTTATTTTTGTTTACAACTTCTTACAACCATATCTTAACCGTTGATTTTCGTCAATCAACGGTTAAGATTTTCACAAATCAAATTTATTAATTAATTATTTATTCACAATAAATGACAACCAATGATTAACGAAAATCAACGGTTAAGATATGGTTGTAAGAATGTGTAAATTATTTGGGTTGTAAATATAACCTCTCCTTTGGTTTTTTATAAAAAATAATTTATGACCGGTTGGCATTCCCACTTTTTTTTTCTTCCTTTTTCTTTTTTTTCCTTTATGCTAGTTGGGGAAGGCTAAATTGTTGGTTAAGTGACTTGAATGTGAGTTATTCCCGCAATCCCTAAATAGATTTTATATTGCTTGAGTTGAGATTCTTGGGCTTATTTTTTTTTATTTGTATAATTTAATTGTTTTATTATATATATGAATTTAATGTTTCTACTTTTATCGAAGAAAAAATTTCTCAGCCACACTCACATAAAAGTGAGTCGGTTCTATTAATTTTTTTTTCTCTTCTATTTACAATGGGACCTACTCATTTTTATGTGAGTGTGGCAGACAAATTTTTTTACAGCAAAAGCAAAAATATTTTTTCACACAAACACATATATATATATATGAGAAATATTATTCTCATTTTAGATGAGATAATTATCTTATGTTCTCTCTTGAAAATCACATCCCCTCTTTTTTTCTTTTAATGGTGGGCTCCACTTGAATTTTCTCTATAGCATGAGAGAATTATTCTTATGTAACATGATAGTAATATTCCCTCGTATATATATAGAATTTTGTTCTTAATTTTATATGGTTTATGTTGTCTCTAATTATTTTGGAATAAATGTGACGTCGTTCATGCTAGTGTTGTTATATTGCTGAGTAGTATTTTAGCATTGTCCTCCTATGTGTGGGATCTACATTTTTTTTCTAGGTGGTGTTTGGTTGAAGAAATCTGAAAATTTCCCCATCTAAATGAACTTGGCATTCCAGAAAGTTGTTGTTTGGTAGAGAGGTTTATTGAAGTTTCCCATCTATGCTATTTGCATAGCATTTCCTATTTGGTTGTAGAAAGCCATCCATTGGCACTCTTTAGAATATGAAGTTGGGGGTGGTTTTTTGGGGATAGCTGGGTAAGTTGAAAAATGAGAAAATGAAGCAGACCAAAATACCCCTTTGTAATCCTTCTTCTCTTTCTTTCCACCGTCTCAACCACAGCAGCCACCTGCAACCACCAACAGCAGCCACCTGCAACCACCATCAGCCGCCGCGGGCGGTCACCATGGACAAAAAGATAGAAATTGTAGCTCATAGCGAGGAAGAAAGAGGGAGAGAGTGAAAATGACATGACTGGAACAGAACCCATAAAGGCCATGAAGCACGGTTAACCAATACTGCTACCAAACAAATACAGGCTATGAATCATCAGATTAAATTTACTTACTGCTCCACCTTTGTACAGTGTTTAAGATCTATTTCCATTTTTCGGTACGTTTCGAAGCAACAACCCACAGATGCTAGAATTTTCCAAAAAATTTCTCTAATTTACAATTTTTTTATTTTCCCAAAAATTTTAAAAACAGGGATATTTTCGTAATTGTCACTTATTTCCCCATCTATATTTTACCTCAAACCAAACATAGATTTTATAAATCTTACCTAATTTACCCAGTAAATTTTTTTCCAACCAAACAACTTTTTTTACATTTTCCTATCAAACTCACTTTTCAACCATTTCCCTATCAATTACATTTCCCTAGTATTCTTAAAATTTATCCTCAACCAAACGCCCCCTTAAAGCAAACTGAGTTTACCCGCCTCCATAGTGTCCATTCAAGCAGTATGTCTCAAGATTTATGATTTCAGTATGCATTTTTCCTAAGCCTTCAAAGATCTTATTAATCAATTAGGCATAATAGTATGATGATAGTACTGCTTGTTTGCTTTCAAATGAAGAAACTGCATTGCTGTTTTAATATATATCCATGTATCGATAAGATATATTTTATCTCATTTTAAATTATTTTTGCATGTTACTTAATGGGATGGTTCCCTTAATTTCACCACCACTATATGGCTGTCTTGAATGATAATGTTGAAGAAATATGCATTTAATTTTCTTGGCTGTTTGACTTGTTAAATTTTGCAGGTGCTTAATGCAGCAATGCTATACTGGCCGATGCCTAATACATTATATGTTGAAGGTTATGCTCTTGACCGATTTGCAGAAGGGTTATGGGCCTTACAGCCTGTTCACCAGAACAGGGTATGACTCAAATACATATTCTGAATGTGCTGCATCCTTGACTAATTTATGTCATGCTGTGTTGCAACTTACATGGTGTTTTCTTAATCATGCTACTTTTATCCACTTCGAATTACGTACTGAATTTAATGGTGTAAAGCAGGTGGGGTTAGTTCTTGATGCTGGGATTGAGGAGGAGCTTCGGGTTCGCCAGTTACAAGTAGCTGATGCTGCAAGGGCTTCCCTTGGATTGCCTGTTGTGGAATATATTGTCACAGACACTCCGCTGAAGGTATCCAGTATCTTCTTATTTTAACCAACATAATGAAATGTATACCATCCTATATTTAAGCCGAAATTCCTTCAACTAGATATGCCTTTGCTTACAAAATCATACAATTTGGACTTTGCAACATATAATTTGGTTCTTTTGCAAAAGGTCGATGGAAAGTTTTACAATTAAAAATGTGACTGCCATTGATCTCCCTTTAGGGAGCACTTTAAAATTAATGTGATATCCCACAAAGAAATTCTTAGCCTTGTTGTTAGATATTTTTGTTTTATTTTAATGCAGTCAAATTTGTCTTTACATCAAACAGTGGTGAAATTTTCTGCAAGTGTTACTTGTTTAGAGAATAAATCGTATATTCATATGAAAATAAAAATTATAGGATTTGTACTTGTTAACACTTAAGATATGCTATATTGTGCACTGGAAAGAACAAAATAAATAATATTTTTTCCCATAAAAATAAAATATGAAATAAGAAAGTTTTAACGGGATGAAACCAAGCCAGGTTATCTTGCTGTTGTATGTGTTTTCTTTCTATTTCTCTAGTTCTAAACAACTTTCTACTCGTTTCAGACATTTGTTAAAGGTGTGTTTCTCGGACTTAGGTATTTTTGTTGGACAAAAGAAGTCTTCAGGCATGTCTATAATTTCTAGCATCTAACATCATGATCCGATTGCAATTTAAAATGCCTAGCCAAAGTTAGAGCAAGCTAGCCATCCAACTTAATGTATGACTTTGACTTGCTTCAAATTTTACAGGTAGAGAAATGGGTTGATCCAGAAACTGGCCAATCAACAGGGAGGATTAAGAACCCTGATTCTTTACTTAGAGCTGTGCGGACTTTAGTGAATAGGTCAAAAGTGAATGCCATTGCTGTTGTTGGACGTTTTCCAGATGACGATACTGATGATGTAGATGACTATCGGCAGGGAATGGTATGGCAATAATGGTTATTGAAATGATATGACAAACAACGTATTAAATACAGAATATATCTTAATTGTGCAAGTTGTATTGGATTAAAAGAAATCGTGGATCATGTTTCTCTTTCTCTTTCTTGGTAATCCTCCTTTCTATGTTCTCCTGTTGGACACAGTTATCATCTCTTTGACAGTAGTTTTTGAAATTTTAGCTTGATGTTAAGAGATTTTTGAATCAGCTTCTGACCATTGTCATCTACATTCCAACAAAGCTGGCAACTTTTGTTCTTTCTTTTTCTTAAATTTTTCTCCTGAACTTTTCTCAGTCATACCTTCACATGGTCAGCGGTTCAGTCATTAGTCTAATTTTATCATTTGGTCACTGACATTTGCTTCCCTCTTTTTCACCTTATTCAGGGAATAGACCTATTGGCAGGAGTTGAGGCAGTTATAAGCCATCTAGTCGTGAAGGAGTTCCAAATTCCTTGTGCACATGCTCCTGCACTATCTCCACTTCCCATGAGCCCATCTCTATGTCCGAAATCAGCAGCTGAGGAGGTTAGTAAACTTTAGATAACGAATAATTTGATCTTTAGTGCTTCAACTATATTAGAATGAGGTCCACAAGTAGTCAATTAAATCTGAATTCTTGTTAACTTGGTTTTTCTTTTGTTTTACTGTTCATTTTAACAAATAGCAAGAGAGAAGTAACATTCCAAAACAAAAAAAGATCTAGCAAAAGATGAGTGAGAGAGAGAGACTCGGTAGTTAACCTAACCAGGGCTAAAGTTATGTAGAGTAACAAGAGACAAAAGGAATATTGAATGAATCCGTGACATCGAGACTTTGATATCATATAAAGAACCAATTCAATCCAAAAACTTAAGTTATTAGGTGATGTTACATGAATGGTTTTATATATCTCTAACACGCCCCCTCACACGAGAGCCCACTGGGCTTGAATGGTGGACAATGCACAGGCCTACCTACCTGTGTTAAGAAACTCCACAAGAATTAATTAAATGGGGGGCGATGAGGATTAAACCCGTGATACGAGGTCAAAACTCCAAAACAAGATCAGATCTAGAATTGTCTCAGAGAGGGGAGAAAAACCCAACTGGTCTCCACCGAAAAGGAGTTGCCACGCACCGGCAAATGGAAGACAACCACGAAAATTTGACATGCGCATGAGGGACTTTCTGGGGACGAGACCTGGATAGACGACACCGCACGGTTGAGACGAGCACAACAGTAGGTGGCTTGCCGGAAAAAGCTACCAGACGGTGGTGGTCAACGGCGGAGGAGCGACGGTCAAGGTTTTCAAATGGTGGTTCGTGAAGAAAAAGGCAACGACGCACAGATGATCCAAGAACAAAAGAGATATCCGGAAACTGACAAGGTGATAGTATCCGGAAAAAAATTGGAAAAGACGATGAACAGTGGGTTCCTCGAAAAAAAATGGATCAGGATTCTTCTCATTAGGCTCTAGATACCATGTAGAGTAACAAGAGACGAAAGGAACATTGAATGAATCTGTGACATTGAGGCTCTGATACTATGTAAAGAACCAATTCAACCCAAAAGTTTAAGTTATTAGGCGACGTTACATTATTGTTTTATATATTTCTAAGAAGTTGGAGACAAAATAATCTGTTCGGATGAAATGCCATATGTCCTTCAATCTTTGGCATTTTATGAAAAAATAAACTAGACACAACACTGTTCTGAATATTTAATGTGCAGTACTTGACCACAACTTCCATAGAAAATGCTTGAATGCTGAAGCAAAATTGAAATTAAACCTGTTTACTCCACAAATAGATATTGCTGAAAATAGGCATTTCTTGTATTGATGTCTGCATATACATATATATTAGTGTGAATTGTTTCTTAAAACTCTGAATATTGATGGAAACTTGAGGCTGTAAAAAGCTAATAAGAATTATGAGGTAGTGTACATAGTTTTGAATATCCTATGCTAATTGACATATAGGAAAAATCATTAAACCCCTTACCACCAGCCTGCTTTAGAGAATTTGATTCCACGGTTAGGATGGGCAATTTCTAATTTGTGTGGCTGTCACAAAGTAGCATGTTATAAAATTTCAGTAAAGACGTAGTAAAATAAGTTTAATTTGCTACATTTCTTGAATATAGACAATTAGAAACTTTAGTTCTAAGAAAAACGAAAGTACTGAGTTATAAGTTAGAACGAAAATGAAAGTCCCCTTATTTACAAACATTGATACATAGTCAACAAGAGTACTATTTGAGGTCGGCTAAATGGATTGGGCTCTATCAAAAACCAATTCTGCAATAATGCCAGTTATAGTAAGGTTGTTAAGTTATCCTCTTTCTTCCTCTTCCCCTTTTTATTGGAGTATCTGCCATGTGATTCATTTTCAAAGATTGAAGTCTTCATTAAATGAATGAAAATTCAATATATTTAAAAGATGCTATTTTAACATTTCATATATCAAATTAAAGAATAAGATTTTGTTCTCATTAGAAATTAGATATTTCTCATCCTCTGCGTTTGCATGGCTAATACTACTTGTGACTTATTTGCTCTTTGCAAATAGATTGGGTACACTTTCCTGCCTTGTGTGCTTGCTGGCCTAAGTAATGCTCCACAATACTCGGTCAGGTACTCTGAATCCATGGAAAGGGGTTGCATATTGGCAAGTGATGTAGATTCGGTAATCCTTCCCAAAGATGCTTGTGGAGGGGATGGGACGCTTGCTTTTGCAAGAAGTGAAACAAATAAGGTATAAATCCAAACGGATTAATTTTTTCCCCTTATTCTTATTTTTTGGTTTGATCATCAAGAATAACTATTGCTTTATGGCATTTTAGCTTTCTTCCACTCAGAACACCAAACTGTGTAACCTGAAATTTTTATAATTCTATTGTTTCAAAATATGACAGTATAAAATTTTCTTGCAGCCACTAATAATTACTGTAGAAGAAAACGAAACTGTTCTCGATGATACTGCAGATAAGCTTGGCTTTGAAGTGGTACGTGATTTTTCATTTGTACATGTTAAAAGCTGAGAGTGAGATGGGATCTTTTATCCATTTGAATCAAAATTCCCAAGAAATCAATTGGCAAAAGTTCTGCTGATTATATTTGCAATTTGCTTACTAAGGAATAAAATGGGGAAAGGATAGACAAAAGTGTAGATAGGGTCACAAATAGCAACCTCATCGCTGCTCCAAGGCTCGCCTTGTAGACAAACAAGTAAAAAGAATAATATTACCATTTTAGGACATTCAAGAACAGGTTTTTTTATTCTGTTGGTTATGCTTAGTCTAAATTATAATATAAGCACCATTTGATTACTCCATTTTTCTTCCATTGCAATTGGATTGATGAAATCATTTCTTCTGCAGCTGCAAGTCTCAAATTATTGGGAGGCTATTGGAGTTATTGCAGCTCACAAGGCGGGGATAGATCCATTTTCACTTAGACGAAATAAAATTATTAACATTGGGTGCACTTCTTTAATGCCCGTCAATGGTAGCTCAATTTCAAGAGAAAGAGCTATCTCCTGATTAAACATTTGAGAGTTCAATCTAACCATTGAAGGAGTGGTGGATCATCTCTTGGGTTTTATGCCTTGTAGGCATATTTATTTAGTGCCTGTTTGGATCGTCTTATTTTTAAGCTAGAAGCTACTTATAAGCATAAGCTAGGCCAAACAGATTTTGGGAAAAGCTCTTATAACGAAAAGCTCTTTTTTTTATAATGAAGAAAAAAGCTAAAAACTAAAAGCTCTTAGGAGGAGTTTTTTTTTAAGCTCTTATCTGTTTTTCTTGAATTGTGTACTTTTTTTTTTTTTAATGAAGAGTGATAAAGATAGAGAGAAAGATAATTTTCTTGAAATATGTACTTTTAAATAATTTTTAAGCTAAAGCTTTTATGTAATTTCCAAACAGCTTTTAGCTTATTTTTTTAAGCTCTTTTTTTTAGCTTTAGCTTATAAATAGCTTCTAGCTTTAAGGTAGCAGTTTAACTTATATTTATCTAGTAACACAGGGTAGATCAAGTTTGCAAAATATACCGAATTGGCTTCGTGGCAGGGTTAGCAGAATTTGGTTTCAGACCTCATTTTTGTCTCTGAACTGTTTTAGGCTTTAGTTGTTGAACTGAACCATTAGCCAACTTGGAACGAGTGAAAGCTTGTTATCTACTATCTAGTCATCCTTGTCAAATTACTAAGGGGGCGTTTGGTTGAGGATAAATTTTAAGAATACTAGGGAAATGTAATTGATAGGGAAATGGTTGAAAAGTGAGTTTGATAGGAAAATGTAAAAAAAGTTGTTTGGTTGGAAAAAAATTTACTGGGTAAATTAGGTAAGATTTATAAAATCTATGTTTGGTTTGAGGTAAAATATAGATGGGGAAATAAGTGACAATTACGAAAATATCCCTGTTTTTAAAATTTTTGGGAAAATAAAAAAATTGTAAATTAGAGAAATTTTTTGGAAAATTCTAGCATCTGTGGGTTGTTGCTTCGAAACGTACCGAAAAATGGAAATAGATCTTAAACACTGTACAAAGGTGGAGCAGTAAGTAAATTTAATCTGATGATTCATAGCCTGTATTTGTTTGGTAGCAGTATTGGTTAACCGTGCTTCATGGCCTTTATGGGTTCTGTTCCAGTCATGTCATTTTCACTCTCTCCCTCTTTCTTCCTCGCTATGAGCTACAATTTCTATCTTTTTGTCCATGGTGACCGCCCGCGGCGGCTGATGGTGGTTGCAGGTGGCTGCTGTTGGTGGTTGCAGGTGGCTGCTGTGGTTGAGACGGTGGAAAGAAAGAGAAGAAGGATTACAAAGGGGTATTTTGGTCTGCTTCATTTTCTCATTTTTCAACTTACCCAGCTATCCCCAAAAAACCACCCCCAACTTCATATTCTAAAGAGTGCCAATGGATGGCTTTCTACAACCAAATAGGAAATGCTATGCAAATAGCATAGATGGGAAACTTCAATAAACCTCTCTACCAAACAACAACTTTCTGGAATGCCAAGTTCATTTAGATGGGGAAATTTTCAGATTTCTTCAACCAAACACCACCTAAGAGTTTTCTTTCTATGTTGTGGAACGAGGAACTAGAGGTCATTGCTTCGAATGAATAGCTGAGGCTCCTCTAATTTTTGTTTGGATTGGATTGGATATTTGTCTTAATGTCAGTTTATTTATTTATTTATTTATTTATTTATTTATTATTATTATTATTATTATTATTATTATATGAAGAACTGACCGGAGTTAAAAATCAGAAGCATATTTCAAACTTATTGCACTTGCTTCTTTTTCCCTACTGTACAGCAAATTTTCTTGTTACTTTTGAATTAAACAAAGGATATGGACTTTGAAGGATGGGCTGGAAATATGTAGGAATTATTAATTAGTATGGTTCTTGAAAGATTAAGTTGACAATAATTTAGTCTTTGGAAGTTGGAAATTGAGATAGATTTAGTTTTTTAAAAATAATAACATCAATTTCGTCCTTCAATTTTGTATTTCGTACATAGAAGCATGATTTTGATATTACACTCTATGACTGAGACTAAATTAATGTTACCTATGTTTCAAAATGGCTTAGCCCAAGAAAAACTCATCTTCTGGAGTTCTGGGTTTACTGGCCCTTAATTCTTAATAATTCACTTATCCTATTGGGTGATGGCAGACGTACTCGATTTTGGATGGATCCTTGGCTTTATTCGTACTCTCCCCTCATGAATCATGTCTCTCAAACTCTTCCTATTGAAATCAGGGATGGAGTGATCGCAGATTATGTCACATAGGAGGGGAACTCGAATTGGTCAGCTTTCCAAAACTTTTTGCCTTTGCAGGTTCTAAACTCGATTCAGAATGTTCTTCCCCTTGTAGATTCGTCCATGGAAGATAGAGTCATTTGGAGCAAAACAGCTAGCGGAGAATTTTCTGTTGCTTCAGCCTATGCAATTCTTAACCAACCAACATTGGTGCAACCAGAATTTGATTGGAAGTTAATTTGGCAGTGGAGAGGCATAAAGAATTTTTTGATTACACTTAATAACTCTTCAAAATCATTCCCCAAACACCAAAATATTCAACATTTTTTTTATCTTTTCACTCAACCAAGTACATCACATTTTACATAATAAAAATAACATTCTCCCCATAATCCCAAACGTAAAAAGAAATCAACCACTGTTAACACAACTATGAGAAAAATTGATTAACACATAGGATGACTTCTCTTTTGCTTATTTTAACTGACGATTGCTTATCTCTTTCAAAAATATCTTTTAGTACTTTTTCTGTGAATTAACTACATTTATTTTATTTGCTCTTTTATTATTAGAATTAAATAAATTTTACTTATTTCTAATTTTAGTAAGAGAATATATTGCATGAATACTGAAAATTTTCTCACCCTGCACAAAGAAAATAACCATAAAAATATCAGATAAATATTTCTGCACTTACTGCAGATAAATTATCTGCATTTACTTTCAAAACAACGTCGTTTTGGAATTGAAAGATTAAAAAAATTATAATTATAAAGACTACAATAATCCTGAAATAAATTAAAATTATAAAAATACCATGATTTCTGCTCCAAAACGACGTCATATTAAGCTTACTGCAGATAACTTATCTACATTAACTGCAGAAAAAACGAACCCTAAAAATATATAATTTATAAGTATGCATAACCAGTTCCTAGGAAAGGTAATTAAGGTCATGATCATTTCAATTATATATAATATGAAAATGGCAACAAATTTAAGATCCCGTTTGTTATTATTTTATTTTATTTAAAATTCAGAATTTTCTTTAAATAATACCATAAAAACGTTTTTATTTTAGTATTATCTGAATGTGTCTTAAATATTTGCTGCTTTATGCATCAGGGGCATCTCAGTCATTTGCTCAAAACCGTCTATCAAGCCTTCGCCAACGAAAGTACGAAACTCCAACATCCTCCCTCACCACGCAACCAGAAATCTCCACGTGTAAAACCATTCCCGCCAAAAAAAAAATTAAAACGAACCCTTCTTCACCCTCTCAATTTACCATTTCTGCCACTCCTCCCTATAACGAACACAAACACACGCCAATTTCACTTGCAATGGCTTCCACCACACTCGTCTCTCTCTCTCTCCTCCTCATTTCTCTCTCCTCCCTCTCCTCCTCCCTCCCCTCCTCCACCATCCTCGACGCCGCCGAGATCCTCTCCGGCTCCGGCTTCGAAACCATGGCTCTCAACCTCGAGCTGGCGTCGCAAAGCCTCCTCCCGCCGCGAACTCGCTCAATCACCATCTTCGCCCCAAACGACGTAGCCTTCAACAAGATCCCGCAGCTCCCTCTCTCTCTCCTCCGCTACCACCTCCTCCCTCACGCTTTCTCTCTCCACAGCATCAGCTCCCTCCCCTACGGCGCCAACATCGCCACCCTACTCCCCGGCCACTCCCTCACCGTCACCACCTCGCATTCCGATGACCGAGTCTCCATCAACAACGTGACCGTGAACCCCTCCCCAATCTTCGACGACGGCTACCTCGTGATCTTCGCAACCGAGAATTTCTTCGATCCATATTTCCAGCTTCCCGCGCAAATCATCCCTCGCCGCCCGAATACCTCTCTCACCGCCGCCGCCGCTTGTTTTCCGGACAAAAAGAACAACCGGAAGTGGTTTTTCTCCGACGAGGCGTTTTCTTTTAAGGAAGCGAGCGACGTGTTGAGATCGCGAGGATGCTCTGTTATCGCTTCGTTTCTCGATACGCAGTTCCTCGGGCTCTTGGATCGCCCTCAGCTGACGCTGTTTGCGCCGATCGACGAGGAGATGAAGAATCACGTGGGGAAAATGAACCTGAGCGATTACTCGGCGATCCTTCGCCACCACCTCGTGCCTTGCAAGATCTTGTGGAGCGATTTGGTGACTTTGGAAGATGGAACGTTGATTTGGACTTACGAGAGAGGGTTCACAATCAACGTCACCAAATCTAGTAAGGACATGTTGTTGCTCAATGGAGTGCCGGTGATTTTTCCGGAGTTGTACTACAGTGATTGGCTCGTTGTTCATGGCCTTCGAGAAGTTCTCTCTGTTCCGAAGGGAAAAAAGAAAGCAGTTAAAGATTCAGATCAGGTTTCGGATGCAGGGGAAGATGCTAAAGAATCATGTTCGTTTGGGTTTAATCACAATGGTGCAGCAAACAATGCAGGGCATTACCACTTCTCTACTTTTCATTAGGCCATGAATTAATATGAATTGAATTGATGATGATGTTCTTGACATTTTAGATTCAGTCTTGAGAATTTAGGTCATTCTAATTTGTGCTGATCATACTATGCTGTTTGGGTATTCTTAGTTGTGTTTTCTTGCAAAATTGACATTGAGCTAGTGCTGTGAACTAGAAAAAAGTGCGTTTGGTTTTATAAAACGGAACTTATACTTGAATTGAATGTAGATATGATATTGCTGAAAGGACTTGTAACGTAGATATATATGTTTAGAATATTTTTCCATGTTAAATATCAATTTTTTTAATGTTGGTTGTATACTTGTATGTGGATATGTTTTAGGACATGCATGATAGATTGATGATAGACTTATGAAAAAATGTTTATTTTTAACTAATTTATATCTGTTATAAAATTGATAGGAAATATAAGAGAAAGGAATTATAGAGAGAAAAAAAAATATTGAGTTTTTCATTCAAGAGAACAATGGAGGAAGTGTCTATTATAGAAAAAATTACGGTAATTTCATGTATGAATATTAATCATAAACAATAATCTCGTATATCTCGCTTACAAGCAGTAATCATGAACAATAATCTCGTGTATAAATAATAACTATGAGTAGTGTTGAACAATAATCTCGTGTATGAACAATAACCATGAACAATATATCCGCATATAAAACACATATGAACAGTACCATGTATACAAGTGGTTACACTACTCAGAGTAGATGTAGAGATAGAGACGTAAAATATTCACAAATTTATTCATAAAAATATCCTACATTTAGCATTTTTAATTTTTTGAGATTTTTATAAGTTGTTAAAAAATAGAAATATTTTTATCAAAGTCTTAGAAATTTTAATAACATTATGAATTATCTTTAAAAATATATTAATTTTCAAATTAATAAATAGAGTAAGAGTCAAATCCTTTCTTTCTATTAATGTCATACTTTATTATTCTTTTTCTTCATATTTCCTATCGTTACTAAATGAGCTAATCTTAAACTATTAAACACAAAATATAAACAATGATAACAATGATAACAGATTCATGTAAGAGTTATCCACTTATACTCTTATATTTATGTTAATTGACCACACACAAACATATATTGGATTTAATACCCAACATGACATCATTTGGTGATAATTTTATAGAAAGAGGAAAAAGTATTTGAATGTCTTGAGATTTGGAAAAACTGCACCACTCTGCAGTTGTTGATCCAATAGCTTGGGTTTATCGAATTACATTCAAAATTATCTTTTACTGCAGAGAATCGCAACTATTCTTATTCTGTAAAATTATCTTTTACATTTAAAATATCCCACCGGGTGGAGTTGAGTTTTCTTCCTGGCGTACCTCGATATCGTCCTGACATCGCATCATTAAGGTCATTGCAGCTCGTATAGGGTCACTTTCCTGTCATAACATGTGTTGCGCTCGAACTCAAAACTATTGATGAACTCAAAACTATTGATTAAACTAGAACCATCAGTTATAGTTGATTGGAAGTGAATTCTCTCACGTGAAAAAGTAATAATGTTTTCATGTTATTTGATCTTAACCAGTAATTGATGATGAGATAATTGAGAGAAAAATGTATAATTTTTAAATAAATGATTGTGAATTGTGATCAAATAACATGACCAGACCACATGATTACTTTTTTACATGAGAGGATCCACTCCCTTGATTTATGTGGTTGGCGGTAATCCTTATGCGATGTTGATTCCTTCATATTGTGAAAGACTTGTACCCTTTTAGCATCCAATTATTTGTTTACTTCATTTTGCTATGTGTCTCAGAATTGCTACTACAATCCTATCACAACTCAGCTTCATTTGTCACTTTCACCTTGAACCATTCACACTTCACCGGTTGAACTTTCTTCAACCTAAGTCAACGGGTAAACTTTACTAATTCGTTATTTAGGGACTGAGTTGGGTCAAAATTTGTACATTCATGAGTTGAACGAACTGAACTCAACCCAACCTCTCGCCCATCCCTAACAATAATAATATGCAGATTTGTTTAATCTTTTGTATAAAATTTAGATGAACATTTACCATTTTTCATAAATTTTTAAAAATTAATGTTTCTTTAAGGTCAACTTTGATGGAATTAAATTTCAACCCCAGCAGATCAATTATGATCCACTTACGTTCGGTTGAAGATTTCTCTACCTAATTCAAATATGTTAATCCGAACCTATATAATTGATTATTGACTAATCAAGTTGACAAACGAAGGCAACAACTTGGAACATCTCTCCTGAGGAAGGTTCCTTCGTTTTGCTTAAAGATTAAACTACCAGTTGTACTATTAATAAACAGAACCAAAAAATAAAAAATTAAAATGTAACTCTCATAAACGCCTTGCGCCTATAAATTTATTTCCTCCATGAGTCATAGCAACTCAAAGAGAAACAAACACATATACATAGGAAGAGAGAGAGAGAGAGAGAGAGAGAGGTACTTGAGTTTCATCAAATAACACGTCACTGAAATTGAACTTTAAGGCATCACGGCAATGTCAACAACTCCTCTTCCACCACCACCACCGCTACCGGTGGCCACTCCTTCTCCACCAAATCCAACGGTGGCCCTGCCTTGGTCGTTGACACCGCCCTCGCAAACATGGCCTCCACCCACGTCATATTTTTCATCATCTGATGATTCATCTTCATCTTCATCATCGTCATCATCGTTTGGTATCATCATCGGAGTATCGGTTGGTGTCCTAGGGTTAATTATAGCGTTCGGCATTTGGCACAAGTATCTTAAGAAGAAGTGGAGTAGAGAATGTTCAAAGTAATCATGTGTAGAGTAGCCCCCTACTTATCTTCTTGTATTGAGTATATGTTACTTCAATTCAAGAACATAATTAGTGAATTAAGTTTTGTGTTTTCGTTGTGTTAAGACGTGAGAATGTTCACGTTCTGGTACCATGAGAGGGAGCATAAAATACGAATGATATGGGTGTAATAAAGCTTGATGTACTAATCAGTGAATTAATTGTGTTTTTACAAATTTGAATTTCTCAAACCTTCAATTAATGTTTCAAGTTAGTGGTGAACCGTATGGTTTTCGTCAACCAACCTAGCAGTACGTTAATATGTAAATTTTATGGGAGAAATGTTTCGCAAATAAGTTATCTGCATTTGATAAATCAAAAAGAAAAAAGTTATCTACATTTATTTTCAAAACAATATCGTTTTTGTATTGAAATTTTAAAAAATTATAAATATAAAGATTATTATAACCTGAAATAAATTAAAATTACAAAAACATCTTAATTTCTGTCTCAAAACAACGTCGTATTGAATTTACTGCAAATAACTTATCTTCTGTAACTACAAAAAAAAAAAAAAAGTGAATTCAAATTCTATATATTACAAAGTATTGATGCGGATATTACCGATTCAACCAATCTCTTCTAACTAACTACATGTCAGTTGACAATTCATGATATTACAAAGTGTCTTCATATTATATATATGAATTCATTATATTAAATCAAGTAACTATTACGGAGCATGGTATTGCATTGATATTTGTTAAAATTATAGGAATATAATATCCAAAAAAAAAATTATAGGAATATAGACATAGTTGTAGAAAAAAGAAGAAGAGAAATATGATATGTTGATGTGTTATATGTTGAATAATATGATATTATGCGGTTATGATTCAAAAGATAAAGTACCAAACTCTATTTATATTAAATAAGACTTATAAAATAAAGGATAAAGTGTGTGTCATTTTAAAAGATGTAAAATTGTGTCATTTTAAGAGAGAAAGAGATAGATAAAGGAGGAGAGAGAGTCAACAAAAATAAAATAAAAATGTGGGTCCCACCTCTTTATAAGAGTGAAAAAATATAAGTTGTGTTATTTAAAAGGATAAACACTTTTCCCTAAAATAAAATAAAAATATGACATAAAAAAAATAAAATCTCTAGAATATTTTAAACTATATTAAGATAATTTACTTTTTAATATTCTAACAATAACATTCATATTTTTCTTTTGACCAGACACTCCCTTTACTAACTACAGTAGATTGAAAGTTATCATGAACTAAATTTAATTTATGAAACTTCAAAAATTAATATAAAAATTTGGAGCAAGTTATATTTACAAATTTTTTTGTTTACAAACTCTTACAAACTACACTAAGTACGACAGTCATATTTTAACCATATAGTATACGATCAGTCAATATTTAATGTACTTTACAAAAAATATTTATAAACGGATCATATTTCTAAAAATTTAATAAGTACTTATTGAATCACTTCTACTTTTAACACATTCGCGTAAAATGACTATTGTCTCTTTGTGAGTCTGCCTCCATGTGTAGCTTTTTTCCGGGGGTCCCCCCAGCCGACTTTTTTTGACCTATATGTAATCCGTGAGCGTAGTGATATGACCTTTGAAAGTTTTATATATGGAATTAATGACACGGAGGAGATAGGATTGTTGGCGGTCTAGATTTAATTGGTTTTGAAAACAAAATCATTCGATTTAATTTTTTCAGTTTGATAATGTAATTATTTATTTGATTTAGATTTTTTTCAAATTTAATTCAATCCAATCAATTTTATTCACTTTGGATTGGATCGATTTTCGATTTTTAAAAAAATCTAAAATTTGTATGATATTTATTGTGCAAATAACATATCTTTTGTATGTATTAACTTTGTAAAGTTTGTATGATGATTATTGTGCAATCTAGAAGCATCAGTAAACGATAATCTAATTTTTAATAAAGTACAACAAAAAGTTGAAAATAGGTAAACTCGGTTTCAAGTATCTATCACCTGTTGGATAAGAAAATTTTTTAGACAATAACAAAGTAAGAAAAATTAATCTCAATTACTAATACAGAGAAATCTTAAAACAATTTTTTATTTCAAATTTTGGCACATAAATTTTATAGTGGTATTACATTCACGTGAAAATCATAAAACTAAATAAAAATAAATCATTAACTCAATTCAAATGCTATATTTATGTAGCAAAAAATTCATACTTTTATAGTATCATATTCAAAGGTTGAAATCACAATGACGGATAATAACGAAGACTTGCTAGAATGTACCAATAAAAGAACATTTGTTGTAAAATGAAGTTATTTTTATTTCATTCTTAAAACTTAAAAACTTAAACAAAAAAGCATTAACGACATGGAGAAACTAATATAGCAGCAGAAATATAGAATTGAAAAAATAACAGTTAAACCATTTGGAACCTTCACCTCCAAGTCTTCAACAAATTGGAAGTTGGGACCCCTTGATTTCGCTAAATCGCTGATGGGTTGGCTAGGTTTTTTTCTTGTATCTGGTTTTGGGCAATGAGATATAAAATTTTACACAGACAAAATTTTACTCATACGATGTGACTAGATTTTTTCTTGAGTTTAGCTTATGGGTTTAGAATTTTTTGGGCTATGATTGGGGAATAGGCCCAATTAGATATATTGGAATTAACATATTGGATCAGTTTGGATTGAATCGGTTTTCACCAACCAAACCAAAAGCCGATCCAATCCATTTAAAATTTTCGATTTTTTTTCAGTTTCGATTAATTCGGTTATCAATTTTTTGGTTCGGTCACCGCGGTTTGAATCGGTTGATGAACACCCCTAGTAGGAGATAATTTTATTTTCTACACATATAAAAGTATACGAGAACCATGTGAAGAGAAAAGAGAAAAAAAGAAAATATGAGACTCATAAATTTTTATGTATGTGTAGAAAATAAAATTTATAGCCTATAAAATAAAAAAAATTATTCCATTTCTATATATATATATATATATATATATATATAGGGATAGGATCCTTTGACACCAGTGTCAAATCTAAAGTTTGACACCTCATCTGAGAGCCGTTAGATCAAAAAAGATCAATGGTGCCACATGCTTACAAATTAGAGTCGTTGATCTTTTTTGATCTAACGACTCTCAGATGAGGTGTCAAACTTCAAATTTGACACTAGTGTCAAAGGATCTTGCCATATATATATATATATATATATATATATATATATATGGGAAAAACAAGTATCATGTTGTAGGACAATTCTCTTATAATTATGTATATATATATATATATATATATATATATATATATATATATATATATATAAGGGCAGGGTCCTTTGAATCCGATGTCAAACTTTGAAATTTGATACCAAATCATAACCTTTGATTTCTGTCAATCAACGGTTATCAGTTATTGAAAATCAAGCTTAGTAATTACTATTTTATAATATAAGGTTACTTTTCTCATGTTGTTAACTTTCCTACAGATTTAGGTTTTGGTGGGGTCCGAAGTTTTTTTTTTTATAAAAAAATAGGGCTAAAAAATCAAAGGGTATGTAGGAAGATTATTTTCTTGTCCTGCAATATAAGACATACATTACCTATGTGTGTGTGTGTGTCTATATATTTATATATATATATATATATATATATATATATATATATATATATATATAGGGCTTATCGTTTTTCAACCTGCTTGAAATAACTTTATCTCCGGCCACTAAATCATAACCGTACAATGATGGATCAATAGAGATAAATGAAGAGAGAGAAAATGAGAATCATAACTATTCAAAGGCGAATCAATTAATATAAAAAATAAATATAAAAAATGACGTAGTTTTGGGTAAATATATCTCAAGCAGCTTGAGAAATATTTTTTTTTTCTCTCTCTCACACACACACACACACACACACATATATATGGAAAATAATTTGTCAATTTTAAATGATGTAAGTTGTGTCATTTTAGCTGCTTACAACAATGTACATCCTGGAGTACATAATTATAAGATCAAAGTAGTATTTTTTCTCTCTCTCCTAAGAAGCTGTCAGCTGAAGTGAAAAGTGGATAAAAGTATAATTTAATATTGTAACTATGTATTCCCCGGCTATGTAGCACCGATACCGACACAAGACACGTGACACGATACAACACGACACTCCGACATGTTAATTCTAAAAAATGTTGGATTTCGACACGTTAGGACATGTTTTGATATTAAATAATATTTTTAATTTATGTAGTGTATATTATATTTAATATTCAATAATTTAACAAAAACGAATCTAAATTTCTAATATTCATAAATTTTGTAAAGAAATAGAAGATATTCCAAATATTTATATTAAACTCAATAAAATGGTAAACGTAATCTAACAAATCTAATAGTTGAAACTAAAAACTCAACGCAACGCAACCTTTGAACCTTTTTTTGAATTTCTATAATTCGTGTTGGAGTGTCGGGGAGTGTCGGAGTGTCCGAGAGTGTCGGAAAGTGTCAGACACGACACACCAGGATTTTTGAAGTGTCGGTGCTTCATAGTTCCCCGGAATACATAGTTATAAGCAGCTAAAAAGACATAACTTGTGTCCTTTAAAATGACAAAATGTTTTGCTATATATATATATATATATATATATATATATATATATATATATATATATGGGGTTTTGCATTTGTCATGTTGCATGACAAATATTCCTACACATACATCGATATTTGAGCTGCATTTTTTTCCTTTTCTTTTTATTTTAAAATGGTGGACCCCACACTTATTGTCTCTATAGCGTGACAAGAGAATTGTCCTACAACATGATACTTGTTTTTCCCATATATATATATATATATATATATATATATATATATATATATGGGCTTATCATTTCTCAAGCTGCTTGAGATAATCTTATCTCCGGCTAGTAAATCATAACCGTACAAAGATGGATCAACAGTGATAAAAGAAGAGAGAGAAAAAGAGAATCATAATCATTCAAAGGTGAATCAATTAATATAAGGAAATAAATAAATAAAACGACGTAGTTTTGGGGTAGCCGGAGATAAACTTATCTCCAGCTGCTTGAGAAATATTTTCTCTCTCTCTCTCTCTCTCTCTCTCTCTCTCTATATATATATATATATATATATATATATATATATATATATATATATATATATATATCGAAACTGTTATATTTACTAAAATTTTATGTACAAACTCAATTATATATTCCCAAGAATAGACTCAGTTTTGAATGCATTCCTCAGAAATACATAGTGTAGTTTGTAAACAAAAAATTTATAAATATAACCTACCCTTATATGTGTGTGTGTGTGTGTGTGTGGAAAAAGGAGTATCTGTTTAAAGGATATAAATTTATATCCTTTTAACAGTATTTGACTATACATTCTCGGGAATGCTTAGTAATAATATTAAAGTTATACTTTTTTTTTACTTTGCACATACCCAGACAGTTTCCGAAGAGAGAAAAAAACTTTAATATTATAATTATATATTCCAAAAAAAATATAGTTAAAAATGCTAAAAGAACATAATCCATGTCGTTTAAAAATACAACTTTGTCCTCATTCGCACACTTTCGAGAGAAAACTTCCCAGGAGGTCACCCATCCCAGAATTACTGCAAGTCAAACACGCTTAACTATGGAGTTTTTCTGTTCTAGGCTACCGAAAAGTAGATGCATCTTGTTAGTATAAGTAGTACCAATTAATTATTATAAGCTATCCCAAACTGTGCAGTCTCATACCTGCACAGTCTTTGGAATCCCTCTCTTTCGGGTGTTGATTCGATTCATTCATGTAACCCCCCGCTGGAAGCCTGTCAGGAGCCGCTCCTTGTCCATGCCCTTTCGCACCAGCGATCACTCCCCGCCCTTGTTAGCGCCCGGGATGTTACATGCCCACCAGTTTCTGTCTGGTTCGTCCTCGAACCACATCGTACTGGAAGAAAGGCCCTACTCTAATACCACTTCAAACTGATCTAGATGTGGTTTGAAGATCCGGCTCATATTACTCATGAACACTGCCGGGGCATTAGTAAGCCCAAATGGAATCACTAAATATTCATAGTGCCTATATCTGGATCGGAAAGCCGTCTTCGGAATATCCTCTGCCTTTACCCGGATCTGGTGATATCCGGAACGGAGATCAATCTTCGAAAATACTGAAGCACCCCTAAGCTGATCCAACAAATGATCAATGCAGGGTAGGGGGTACTTGTTCTTCACCGTTACCTTGTTTAATTGTCGGTAATCCGTGCACAACCTCATAGTCCTGTCTTTCTTCTTCACAAAAATTACTGGTGCACCCCAAAAAGATACACTCGGTCTAATGAACTTCTTACGGGACAATTCTTCAATCTGCTTTTTCAACTCTGCAAGCTCTACAGGTGACATCCGGTAAGGAGCCAAGGAGATAGGCCCCACACCAGGCAATAAATCAATGGAGAATTCAATCTCCCTCTTTGGAAGAAATTGAGGAATTTCTTTTGGAAACATGTCCTCAAATTCACACACTACGGGAATGTTAGCAGTTGGTTCCTTGGAGGCTCCTACTAATCCTCCCAAAATAATGTATCCCGCATCTCCCTCATTTAGAGCCTTCTTTAATTGCGGTACAGACAATTACAAATTGTCCGGCTTCTCTCACTTTGCAGAAAAGAAAATCCTTTTGCTACAACAATCAAGCATCACACCATATCGGACCAACCAATCCATGCCCAGAATAATGTGTAGATTCATGCCCTCAAGCACTATCAAATCCACCATATACTCTTCTTTCTCAAATATGGATCCGACTTCTTTGCATATCAAAGAAGTAGAAACTATGTCTCTAGTTGCAATCTTCACTACCATAGGAGGCGTGAACTCATAAATGGGCACATGCAACCCATTAGCAACAAATTCCGATATGAAGGAGTGGGTAGCTCCTGAATCAAAGATAGCATCAAAAGCATATCCTCTGATAAGAATGGTACCTCTGATCAAATTAAGCGACCTTTCGGCCTCCTGCTGAATGACTGCATAAACTCTGGCACTAGGGGGTGCTAGAGACTCCTAAATGACCATCAGAGTCGGAACAGTCTGGATAGCTTCCACTTGTCCCTTTCTCTGGGGGCGCTCCCTAAAGAAATGTCCAGCATGTCCACAACTGAAATATATATTATGCTCGAGCCGACACACAACAAAATGCGATTTCCCACATTTAGCACATGTGGGAACCTTCCTAGTTCCAGCTTTTCCACTTCCATTCTTCACATTACCAATCTTCTTAAACTTGTTGTTCTGATTCACCTGTAAGCCCTTTCCTTTACGGCTTTACCCTTCCTGTGAGTAGTGCCGCTACTGTAACTCTTTCCAGCCCCATCCTTTCCACTAGTGCGAAAATACTCCTAGATGTCCTGGCTTTGTTGAATCAATTCCACAAAGTCTCTAGTGCAATGGCCAGCCAGCTTATCAGCTATCATATCGTTCAATCCCTTTTTGAATCTGAAGGCTTTGTCTTCTGGAGTGAGGGGAGCTCTACCATAGCATGAATACTTTTCCAATCTGTTGAACCTACTCAAGTACTCATCAACGGTCATGTTTCCTTGATTAAGGTCTTCAAACCTACTCATCTTCTTTTCCCCAGCTTCTTCAAGGAAGTACTTCAGCAAAAAATGCCTCTCAAACAATGGCCAAGTGATAGCATAACCTTGGCACTCAAGTGGATGTCTAACATTGGTCCACCAATCAGCTGCATCACCCTGTAACATATCGCCAACACCCTCCTGTCCCAGCACGATAGGCTCAACCACTGGAATCGGATCTGCTAACTGCGCAACCTGCTGCTGTACCGGTGGTGTATGTGGTGGTGGAGGTGGTGTAGGTCCTCCACGTACCTCAGCCAACAACAGTCTGATCATCTCTGCATTGGCCAATCGGTTCTGTGTGCCATGAGGTCTTCACTTGCCTTCCTCATCTGCTCTCTATCACGCTTTCTAGCTTCTTTTATTCTCTTTAGATGTTGCGAACTCGGCAAGTCATACCGATCGTTCCAAATAATAAAGTGATAAGAAAAGTATCGTTCTCACGAGGATTGAGGCACCAAGTACTAGTCTAACTATTCCCCTTGAGTTGGAACAGAAAATTTGTTTGTGTTGTGAAATAATTGAGTTTGGAAAATCCAAAATAGAAATTAAAACAATTGAATTTAAAAACAGAATTTAATTAACAGTGGACTTTGAACGCATGCAAGAAAAGATCAAGAACGCGAGAAAAGATTGATGAAAAATTCGTAAGAAAATTGTAGCCAGGATACACTTTACCTCTGATCCTCCCTTATATTCCTATATTGTATTTTATAAATAATTAATTCGTTTGTTCAGACAATTCATTATTTCCCTACAAAATAGTTGAACCCTAATGTCTTAGTGATTTCAACCCTTTAACCCAATTAGAACCCTAATGTCTTAGTGATCCTTCTTGAATTAAGCATTAAGCAAATGAATTATGAGTCTGCAATTTATATAAGCCTATGTCTAGATCATACACAAATTGTTATTCTACCCCTATCCAGATTAAAACCCCAATATGTCTATTGTGAATTCTAACCCTCAAAGTCTTATAATTTAGAGTGGCCTATTCTAAACAGGATATGGAAAAATTAAACCAGGTAGAATAAAACAAACTAACTAATTAAATTATAAAATATCAATACAGAAAATATAAAAGGATTCACATCGGGTCCGTGATCCCAACTACATAAAGAAATTAGCCAGACATGTTTATGTCTGACTTAAACAAATAAAAAGAAAAATTGTTCATAAACTATAAAGAAGAAAAGAAGAAGAATAAAAACTCAATGTCTTCAGCCTTCAACTTCCGTGGAATCCTGATCTTCAGCGTGAGTTTCCAAGAATTCTCTCAATTCTCTGATCCTCCAATTTGCTCCAGCCAGAGATGATTGTTTCTGGGAGTCTAAACCTCTATTTATAGACTTTGTGTATTGCTCAGATATCTTGATTAAATCTTCGTCGTAAATCTCAGTGTGATCTTTTCTCTGATTTAAAATAGGATTTACTGCTAATTTGTCCGCACCTCCCACGCTACTAACATGGTTCCCACACAGATAGCATGAGAGTTTTGTTCACAATACTGGAGTTCCACGCAACTAGGGTGGTTCCCACGCTGTGAGCGTGGGTTGCAGGAAAGTATGGCGCTACTAGCGTGAGTGCCACACTAGTAGCGTTGATGTCTCGGGATGATTTTGAATTCTGGCGCTACTAGCGTGAATTCCACGCTAGTAGTGTATATGTATCTGTATGAAAAGGCTCCTCTACACTGTCAGCGCCACACCCACGCTATCAGCGTGGGCCTTCAGTTTGGTATTTTCCCATTGAGCTCCAGTTTGTCTGTTTTTCCTACGAAATCAGCATAAAATCAGTTGCACAATCTCTGATTGAGATTTTAACAGATCAACAGTAAATATTGCCTTTTTACTTAAGATTAACCAATATTCTTTCTCTTTTTGGCTTGGATTTACCCATATGCTGGATGCATTATCAAGGTCTTCACTTGCCTTCCTCATCTGCTCTCTATCACGCTTTCTAGCTTCTTTTATTCTCCTTAGATCATCCTCTCTTGTCTCATTCAAGGTCTGCTGAAGTGCTGCTAAAGCAGCAGCAACATGGTTGGTTCTGAACTACCCGTCGTGGTCTCCCTCGAGGAGCCATGATATCTACACACAACTGCACAAGGTTAGCTACGCTCAATCAAGTGATGAAATATGCATTATCATGATACTCAAGAGACAATCAACAGGTAATTCTAACATTTAAGCAATAAATCAGTGAACGTCCCGGTGAAACTTCTCTGATACCACTTGTAACGCCCGGTCGCTTCAAGAATCAATGACTATCTCCACATACTAACACGGGACTTTTCAACGTGCTTTTTCCTCACTCGCACACTTCCTGAAAAAACTTCCCAGGAGGTCACCCATCTCAAAATTATTGCAAGTCAAGCACGCTTAACTATGGAGTTCTTTCGCTCCGGGCTACCGAAAAGTAGATGCATTTTGTTAGTATAGGTAGTACCAATTAATTCTTATAAATTATCCTAAACTGTGCAGTCTCATATTTGCACAATCTTTGGAATCGCTCTTTTTTGGGTGTCAATTCGATTCGTGTAACCCCTCGCTGGAAGTCTGTCTTTCGGGTGTCGATTTGATTTATTCATATATCCCCTCGCTGGAAGCCTGTCAGGAGTCACTCCTTGTCTGTGCCCTTTCGCACCATACCCTTTCGCACCGGCGATCACTCCCCGCCCTCGTCAGCGCTTGGGATGTTACATGCCCACCAGCTTCTGCCTGGTTCGTCCTCGAACCACACCCTACTGGAAGAGAGGCTCTGCTCTGATACCACTTATAACGCCCGGCCGCTTTAAGAATCAATGGCTATCCACACACACTAACACGAGACTTTTCAGCGTGCTTTGTCCTCACTCGCACGCTTCCCGCGAAAACTTCCAAGAGGTCACCAATCCCAGAATTACTGCAAGTCAAGCACGCTTAACTATGGAGTTCTTCCGTTCCGGGCTACCGAAAAGTAGATGCATCTTGTTAGTATAGATGGTATCAATTAATTCTTACAAGTTATCTCAAACTATGCAGTCTCATACATGCACAGTCTTTGGAATCTCTTTCTTTCGGGTGTCAATTCGATTCATTCATGTAATCCCCCACTGAAAGCCGGTCAGGAGTCGCTCTTTGTCCATGCTCTTTCGCACCAGCGATCACTCCCCGCCCTCGTTGGCATCCGGGATGTTACAAAAAGAATGCTCACTAAATTCACACACACACACACACATATATATATATATATATATATATATATAACTGAAAATAAGAGCCAGGAAAGATTGTCACTTGTCACTTTAAGGCATAATGACAATTTAAAAAGATGACTTGACTTTGTAATAAAAGATAAGTTGGTGTCAACAAGTCATTGATAATTAAAAAGAAAAAAGAAAAACAAAGTCTCTTGCTGAATGATAATGATATGAATAATTTGTAGAAGTCTCTGTGCTTAAAATACAGTCCGCGGTGTCCTTTGAAAAGATAAAGTTAATTTCTTATTTCTTTTTATAACCATCCACAAATTTTTTATGATATTAGTCACGATATATGATTAAAAAAATGAACTGTATGCCCTAGTTTGGAAATTTCTACGTCAATATGCAACAACTTAGTTCGGTAAAGATTCTACTTATGTCAACATCAGTACATCACTCTAGTGTCCATTATTCTATAATTTTTTTAAATAATTGTATTCAAATATTTATGTCTGTAATGTTCGCATAAAATCACTTTATTAACAACCTAAAGTTAGTTGAGAGTTGGCTTGGTTTGAATCTAATAAGAAAAATAAATAAATTAAATAGAGTGGGTTGCTTGGTTTGATTTTATAAATAATTTTATTAGAGAGATATAATATTATATTATTGAAAATCCATCACTTATTAAGCTATTAGATGATATAAAATTACTTTACATGGTTGGTGACCACGGGATCATTCAATTATAGTCCAAGGTAAACTCAGCATGGTATTCTTTATTCTTACATTTTTCTCATTCAAAAACTGTGTTGCACAGCACTTTCAAACCTCCAAGGTTCCACCGTCATTGTTGTCTCATCCATTACCAATTAATCTCACCTTCATTTGATTAAAGGGGAGGCATGGAAATTAAATCCTAGCAAAAAGTTCATTTTTTATATTCAAAGGGTATGCATGTAACGAAGCATACATCAACTAATATCATCAGATGAACAGTCGAACTCATCACATATTTTAATATTTAAACTACATCAAAATTCATCCTAGCATATGAATGTATAATATCTCCCTCCAAAATAAAATCTCAAAAAAATGACCATACATCAGCCTGAGAAGTTTTTTTGGGCATGGAGAGATCCATCTGTTCATTTCTAATTTTAGTGAATCTACCACCGAGTGATAAGGATCCGCTTAAACTTTTAGTTGGATAATAAATAATTTAGAGTGGATCTTAAGATAAGGATGCAAGCTTGCTGCCGGCGTTCTTCTAATAAAAATAAGTATATTTTTTGAGGTGATTGAGGTGAGCTCCACTAGAAGTTAAGCAGTTGAAAAAGGAAAAGAAAAGAATAGTTCTCAAATGAATTCAAAGAGGAAAGAAAAATAAATTGAAAAATTGAAAAACAAAGATGAAGAAAAAGGTGAGAAAAAGGATGAATCATGAATTCAAGTAAATAGTGGAGCTGAAACCCGAATTGAGATATGATTAGGTCTTAATGAAAATGGGTGTTTCAATCTCAATGATTATTCAGCTACTTTCCAAATGATCCT